GGCCTGCATCAGCCTCAGCCTCAGCCTCAGCCTGCCTCAGGGCTCAGCCTCAGCTGCCTCAGCCTCAGCCTCAGCCTGCTTCAGCTCAGCATTTCCCCAAAGTCTTTTTTTTTTTTGTGCCTTCAGCCTCGCCTCGGCCTCGGCCTCAGGCCTCAGCCTGCATCCCTCAGCCTGCATGGCCTCAGCCTGCTGCTCAGCCTGGCTCAGCAGCAGCCTGCCTCAGCCTCAGCCTCAGCCTGCCTCAGCCTCAGCCTCAGCCTGCTTCAGTCTCAGCCTCAGTCTGCCGTCGGCCTCGGCCTCGGCCTCAGCCTGCCTCAGCCTCAGCCTGCATCAGCCTCAGCCTCAGCCTCAGCCTGCCTCAGCATCAGCCTGCCTCAGCCTCAGCCTCAGCCTCAGCCTGCCTCTGCCTCAGCCTCAGCCTGCTTCAGCCTCAGCCTCAGTCTGCCGTCGGCCTCGGCCCCAGCCTCAGCCTGCCTCACCCTCAGCCTGCATCAGCCTCAGCCTCAGCCACAGCCTGCCTCAGCATCAGCCTGCCTCAGCCTCAGCCTCAGCCTCAGCCTGCCTCAGCCTCAGCCTCAGCCTGCTTCAGCTTCGACCTCAGTCTGCCTTCAGCCTCGGCCTCAGCCTCAGGCTGCCTCAGCCTCAGCCTGCATCAGCCTCAGCCTCAGCCTCAGCCTGCCTCAGACTCAGCCTGCCTCAGCCTCAGCCTCAGCCTGCTTCAGCCTCAGCATCAGTCTGCCTTCAGCCTCGGCCTCAGCCTCAGCCTGCCTCAGCCTCAGCCTGCATCAGCCTCAGCCTCAGCCTCAGCCTGCCTAAGCATCAGCCTGCCTCAGCCTCAGCCTCAGCCTGCCTCAGCCTCAGCCTCAGCCTGCTTCAGCCTCAGCCTCAGTCTGCCTTCAGCCTCGGCCTCTGCCTCAGCCTGCCTCTGCCTCAGCCTGCATCAGCCTCAGCCTCAGCCTCAGCCTGCCTCAGCATCAGCCTGCCTCAGCCTCAGCCTCAGCCTGCCTCTGCCTCAGCCTCAGCATGCTTCAGCCTCAGCCTCAGTCTGCCGTCGGCCTCGGCCTCAGCCTCAGCCTGCCTCAGCCTCAGCCTGCATCAGCCTCAGCCTCAGCCTCAGCCTGCCTCAGCATCAGCTGCCTCAGCCTCAGCCTCAGCCTCAGCCTGCCTCAGCCTCAGCCTCAGCCTGCTTCAGCCTCAGCCTCAGTCTGCCTTCAGCCTCGGCCTCAGCCTCAGCCTGACTCAGCCTCAGCCTGCCTCAGCCTCAGCCTCAGCCTCAGCCTGCCTCAGCATCAGCCTGCCTCAGCCTCAGCCTCAGCCTGCCTCAGCCTCAGCCTCAGCCTGCTTCAGCCTCAGCCTCAGTCTGCCTTCAGCCTCGGCCTCAGCCTCAGCATGCCTCAGCCTCAGCCTGCCTCAGCCTCAGCATCAGCCTGCCTCAGCATTCAAAATGTGGCCCGGGAATGGAGTTCTGGGAACTCGAAGAACACGAAGTGGCCTACAGTTGGCTCCGGGCATTCAAAATCATGCCCAGGAATGGAGTTCTGGGAACTCGAAGACCACGAAGTGGCCTACAGTTGGCTCTGGGCATCCAAAATGTAGCCCGAGAATGGAGTTCTGGGACCTCGAAGAGCACGAAGTGGCCTACAGTTGGCTCCGGGCATTCAAAATGTGGCCCGGAATGGAGTTCTGGGAACTCGAAGACCAGGAAGTGGCCTACAGTTGGCTCCGGGCATCCAAAATGTGGCCCGGGAATGGAGTTCTGGGAACTCGAAGAGCACGAAGTGTGTGACTGTTGCATCCGGCCCTCCATAATGTGGCCCGGGAATGGAGTTCTGGGAACTCGAAGAGCACGAAGTGTGTGACTGTTGCATTCGGCCCTCCAGAATGTGGCCTGGGAGTGGAGTTCTGGGAAATCGAAGAGCACGAAGTGTGTGACTGTTGGCGAAAAACGAGCCCGGCACCTGCCGCCCGGCAACTCCCAACACCTGCCAGGACCCCCCTGTGGAGTGATCTGTGAGCTCTTTTGAGTCAACTAGAAACCTATCAGTCTTCGCTGTTAGGTAAAAATCGCGAAGATGGCCCAAGATGGCCTCCAAGTCCGCCCGAGATGGTCCAAGACGGCCTCCAAAACGGCCCAAGAGAGTCCAAGACGGCCCAAGACGGCCCAAGAGGCCCCCCAGAGGCCTCCCAGACGGCCCAAGAGGCCTCCAAGAGGTCCTCCAGGAGAGTCCGAAGAGGCCAAAATCATTGATTTTCCCTTGGTTTTTGAAGGATTTTGGCATTTGCGCCTTTTCGGCTATCCGACGGCTCAAGACGGCCCAAGAAGCCCCCAAGATCGCCCAAGAGGCCCCCAAGAGAGCCCCCTGATGGCCCAAGTGGCCTCCAAGATGGCCCCTAGAGGGCCCCAAGACGGCCCAAGAGGCCTCCAACACGCCCAAGATGGCCTCCAAGACGCCCAAGATGGCCTCCAAGACGGCCCTGGAGCGCCCCAAGAGGGTCCCCC